TGTACATTTGTTGCCATCATCATTCTCAAAACATTTGCTTTCTACTTGAACCCTTGGTATCAGCTCCTCATTTTTTCCCCTCCTTCCCCACTCGCCCCTCCCTCATGAACCCTTGGTAATTTATAAATTATTATTTTGTCCATGGTTGATTTTTAATCCATCTTTTTCCTCATGTATTTCGCTGAAAACAGGAAGGATAAACCAGTCTGCCTCTTTAAGATCTTGCTAAGAAGTTTCTTGAGTTTATCATTTCCAAGTTCTACCTTCTACCAAACGTTTGTTTTGTTTGATTTTCCCCATAAAACATTTGAACATATGTTCAAATTTCAACATATGTTTCAGACGAGTTCTCTTGTCACTGCATAAATAAATCATTAGTCATCCCCCAGTGTCCAATCACATGTTCATTTTCTTTCAAACTATCAGTATTTATTAGGTTCTTAGTAAGAAACCTGGAACACCAATTTTTGAGGATAAATTCCATATGGAAGTGCAAATGCAAGTAGTCTGGGAGCTGCAGAACACCTTTGATTTTTTGCAAAATTTGTGAGCCCTCAGTTTTCTGATCAACCTTGTGCTGATCTGTGATCTTGTGTATCTTAGTGTCAAAGATCTCACTTTCTTGGTATCTGGCTTATGTGGCTTCTTCTAGAATCTAGAGGTTGGTATCTGTGAGATGTTTGGGGATTTTCACAGCACTGATAAGAGTTTTGGTTGAGGTGATGATGTCAAATTTCTGGTGCATTCTACGCAGAGGAACTCGATTGTGAAAGAGAGGTCCAGTCTCAAGCAGCAAGTCATTGCCCAGCTGCTTCAGGAAAACCAATCTCTTGCCTTGGTGGTGCCCTGTCAGGATAGTCAGAATGGTCCCAAGGTGATGCTGGCTCGCAGTCTCCTCTTGTGCTGACTGAAGACTATTTCCCATGGCTCAACAGCTTCTGAGGCACATCCTCCCTAGGCTAATACCTAGGCCCTCTGTGCTTCTTAGCCACATTTCTTTCACAACCTTTGTGAAGAAGGATCTTGCACTTCTTTTTCTCAACCCTGGATTTAGTCACCGAATACTTCCTCTTATGCATGGCCTTCCCTGGAATACATGGTACTGTGGGATTATTGTCCAATTCTTTTGACGAGGCCAGGGTTTCGGCTGCAGTGGGGCTTCCCCTTCCTGAGCTTTTTGCGCGTGATTTTACCTTTCATAACCACTGGCATTTGCTTTTTTAGCTTCCGGTTTCTCAGCCTTTTCACCCATCTTGCAAGAAGGGAAGAAGTTTCTTTTTCTTTTAATGTTTCCCTAGAAGCATATTTAACATCTGCATTTCTAGCTACATTGTACGGCTGGTGATGGAGATATTCTCTAAAGTTCTTTTCACTTCCTTCCAAGTTCTTGCCAGAATTGCCATTAGTGTCTATAATTCTACCAGCAGTTTTCACAAAACAAACTAGGCCTTTTTTAAAAAAAAAAATCATTTTATTGGGGAATCTTACAGCTCTCCTCACATTCCATATATTATCCAAATCTAAAACCATATTTGCCTTCTAGATGTCAGAGAAGCACCCTCTCGTCCAGTCTGAAATTTTCTCTTAGATAACAATCAAAATTTTTCCTTGTAGTGTAGGTGGCTAGAAATCTACATTTGGGGTATGGGTTTCAGGGAAACGCTTTCTCACTGTGCCAGCTCTATAGGAAGGTCCTTGTCTCTTCTGCTTTTATTACCTGGCTTGACATCAGTCCTCTGAGTCTAGGAAGTTCTCGGCACAAGGACTCTGAATCCAAAGACCATACTCTGGTCTTTGCTCTTCTTTCTTGGTGGTACTGAGATCATCCTTCCTCCTCCTCTCCTCTGTTACTTTTTCCTTTTATCTCTTGTAAGATAAAAAGTGATGCAGGTTCCCCCAAGGAAACCCCTTACATCTGATCAGAGTAAGGATGATAAGTAAGTAGCCTACCCTAATCTTGCCTTAATAACATAACAAATAATACAGCCAGGGTCAGCGGTTCAAAATCACAAGTTGCTCTACAGGAGAAAACAAGGCTGTCTGCTCCCATTAAAAAAAAAAAAATCTGAAGCTCAAAGTAGTAGTTCTACTCTGTCCTATAAAAACAAACAAAAAAGTCACTGCCATTACATCCATAGAACAGGGCCGAACTGCCCTTGTGGTTTTCAAGACTTAAGTTTTTACAGGAGTAGTAACACTCATGAAATAGCTGGTGGTTTCAAACTTGCTGTGAGTCAGAATCAACTCTATTTGTTTTTTGATCTGGCCCCCGTAATCACAGGAAGAGGTTAGGACTTATAACTCATCATAAAATGACAGCAAATGCTGTGTTGGCTCATATTTTAAGGGATGCAGTTCAGTTCATGGTAACGTCTTTTTCAGATTCCATATGTTGAGGGCTCTTCTAGGTGTGTTATTGATGTTGTTAGTTGTTTCATAGAAGTTTAACCTTAACATCAAACATTTTGTACAATCAAGACAATTCTGAACTTACATAGACCTGTGCATTTTGAAACTAGAAATGAGTAATGATGGGCATTGCTTTTTCTCTCAGCATTATTTAAATCATTATAACTATGAACATTGAAAGTTGTTTTGTTTTTAAATTTTCAATTATGCAGTCGTTGAAACCTGTGTCTAACTATATAATATCCTAATAGGTCCCCCACGTCAATTGAAAGTAAAACCAGATTCTGAAATTTTAGTTATAGAAAATGGAACAGCTTTCCCATTTCAGGTGGAAATTTTGGATGAATCAGACAATATAACAGCACAACCAAAATTGATAGTTCATTGTAAGGTAAGTAAGATAGAAGTTTGTAGATTTTATTCTGAGTGCCCTGTTGGTAAATGGTAGGACTGTATCTTTTAGCTAATTTATAGTAGGCTTTACAGAGTCTGAGTCTTTAATGATTATTCTGTGGGAAAACTTATTAGAAATTATATTGACTAGAGTTATCACTTTCCCTAAGCCATTAAAAATGACAATTTCATAACAAAACTTACGGATAAAGTTTCCATCCCTCTGATTTCACAGACAATATTTCACTTATCAGGATAGTAATGTTACTAAAGTCCTTCAGACTTGAGGAATGGAGGTGGGTACAAACCACAAAAAAAGAAAAGAAAATTCAAATAAGAAAAGTAAAAAAAAAAAGAAAGAAAGAAAAGCAGTGGTTGAGAAAGTTGGTTTTCTTCTAAAATGGATCGATTTTACCTAGTGTTGTGGAAAATTACTCCTTTCATTCAAAAATTGCCTAGCATTTTTTTGAGCTCTTTTAAAAATTTGCCAATGTATAGCCCAAAATAGCAACTGAAACAAATAATTTGAAATTTAAATGTTTATTAAGTAATCAACTATGTATTTGACCAGGATCTTGAATTACTTTGTATTCTTCCAATAGTTTTCAGGTGCTTCAAACCTTCCGCTCTACGTCGTGGATTGTAGTAGTTCTGGAACTAGCATTTTAACTGGGCCTGCAATTCAAGTTAAGAATATTAAGAAAGACCAGACACTTAAAGCAAGAATTGAAATACCTGTAAGTTGTTGGTGTTATTAATCATACTCACTTTGCGTACAAATATTTATTCTTCTGTAGCTTCATAGTATCTTGTTTAAGTTTGTTTGACTTTTTAAAATGAGGTGTGTGAGGTTCTTTTCGCCAAAAAAGAAGAAAAGAAGCAACAAAATTGTCTATAGAGTACCAACCCAAAACCAAACCCACTGCCATAGAGTTGATTCTGACTCATAGCAACCCTATAGGATAGGGTTTCTTAGACTGTACCGCATTATAGGAATAGAAAGCCCCATCTTTTTCCTGTGGAGCATCTATTGGTTACAAACTGCTGACCTTGCTGATAGCTCAATGTGTAACTAATCACGAAGCCACCGGGGCTCCTACATAGACCAAGAGTTCATGAGGAACATGGGAAAACTGCATGTTTGACATCACAAAAATGTGTACATCACAATTGTATTCTTTCACCATGCTTAATCAGTCTATATGCTGAGCAAATAATGTGAGACACACTGTGTCATGATTTCAGAAGACTAGTTAACCTGGTTTATGCAGATGATACTTCACAAGATGACTTGAAACACTTACTGATGAAAATTAAAGAAAATGAAATTAGTGTGGGTTGCACCCACCTCAAGAAAACAGATTTCTTCACAGCTTGGCCAGTATATAGCATGGTAGAGAAAAGATCGGTTGTAAAGGATTTCATTTTACCTGGATACACAACCAACACCTAAGGCAGCAGCAGTCAAACTATGGTAATCTGGGTACTTTAGAGAAACAAATCCACAGCAACTCATGTATAAGAGAGTTTTATATAAAGGTTAAGTGTGCATCAAGAAAACATCCCAACCCAGTGCTGCCCAAGCCCACAAGTCCAACATTGACCAGATGTCCAACACCAGTCCACAAAGTCCTTCTCCATGTCACGAAACAGAAGCAATGATGCCGACTGCAGGAGGAAAGCCAGGTCAGTGAATGTGTAACTATCTCAGTGCTGGCAGGGGTCTCCACACGGCTGCTCCAGTACCCAGGGCTGCGTTGGGGGAGGTCCATTCGGCTTCTCCTTGGGGATGTCTTGCAGGAAGTCAGCCTTGCCAGCTGAAGCAGGGGACTGGCTAAGGCAGCTGCACCCTGGTCCAACCATCAGAAAGCAAAAGACCCGAGTACTAGAAAGGCGAGGCTCTGAGCCATTTATCTCTCTGCCCTTCAGTTAACCCCACATGTGTTTATCGACCAGGTTGGCACAATAAAGTAACTAACTCAATCCACCCCTTGCCAACCTGGCACCTGTACATAATTCTTTAGCTTCACGATTGAAATTAAGTAACACCTACACCTTAATCCTATAATCCTGTGAATATGTTCCCCCACCTATGCAAGTTTGTAAGCCAACCACTTCATGCCTTTATCCCCCCAATTTTGAGTATCCAATTTATATACTGCCCACTTACATCAACCCAGTTCTCTGAGAAGACAGTCATATTTTTCAACATGAAGAGTCTTCATTCCTGTTGAAACTTTGAAGTTTGCATCCATAAGCAATGTCAAATTCGGACAAGCCATCCCTAAAGTCAGCAACAATATGCACCAGTTCACAGGCTCAAAAATCTCCATCTGGTCGGGTTCTGGTCAACTCAATGTGGGCTACCTCACTCAGCCTCCACAGGGTGTCCATTGTTCACCTTGCCTGTAGACCATGGGCTCTCACCAATACTCCGCTAGTTTTGCCCCCTCGTGCTAGCTCATGAACTTTAGACCAGTCAACCCACTCTCATCTTGTGTTTTTTCCTGTAAACCAAGTCCACGGGTGTCAGTGACCAAATTCAACCTCTTTATTGCTGCATTTCTCCCACTTCCACTCAACAAGTAGATCCAGGTGGTGACCTAGCAAACATCTCAGCCTCCTCACAGGCTCCCTTTAACATTCAGTCCCAGAGAGGAGTTTTCTTCATGGTTCCAGATTTTTCCAGCTTCTCACAAAGACTACTGGTTCCTGAGTACTCCAAAGCACTGGGTGGGACATATATTTTCAAAGCTTTCTTTGCAGGCATGGCCTAAGCCCATCTAAATGTCAAATTTTAATGGCTGAAACCAAGTAGGCTTAATGAACTTTCTATTTTCCTACTTCCCATATTTTCCTCAGAAAACAACCTAGTAAAGTGTGGCTTTATCTGATCTCTCACTAGACAAAAGAAGAAAAAGTAACATGAGGGAGAGGTCAAACAAACATCTACTCTCCATCTTATGATTTGTTTCTCCAGGACCCCATTCCCCAGGTACCATAATATGTTAGTCTGGGTACTTTAGAGAAACAAACTCACAGAAACTCGTGTATAAGAGAGAGTTTTATATATAGGGTAAGTGCACATCAAGGAAACATCCCAACCCAGTGCTACCCACATCTGCAAGTCCAACATCAACCTATATGTCCAACACCAATCCACAAAGACTTCCTCCATCTCACAAAACAGAAGCAACGATGCCACCTGCAGGAGGAAAGCCGAGTCAGTGGTCTCCCTGCGCTGGCAGGGGTCTCCACACGGCTGCTCCAGCACCCAGGGCTGCATTGGGGTAAGTCTATGTGGTTTCTCGCCAGCTGAAGCAGGGACCTGGCTAAGGCAGCTGCACCCTGATCCGACCATCAGAAAGCAAGAGACCTGAGAACTAGAAAGGTGAGGCTCACTGAACCATTTATCTCTCCGTCCTTCAGTTAACCCCACGTGTTTATCGGCCAGGTTGGCACAGTAAACTACCTACCTCACAAAGTATCCAACATCTTGTACTGGGCAAATCAGATGGTGTTACTTTGAGGGCTAACTTGCACCTGACCCAAGTCATGGTAATTTCAGTTCCCTTGTGTACCTAACGGCTGGATAATGAATAAGGAAGACCAGAGAAGAATTCATGAGAATTAATAAATTTGAATATAGTGTTGGCAGGAATATTGAATATATTATGAACTGCCAAAAGAACTTTTAACACATCTGTCTTGGAAGAAGTGCAGCCAGAATGCCCTTTAAAAGCCAGGATGACAAGACTTCATCTCATGTAATTGGTCATGTTATCAGGAAGGGCCAATGCCTGGAGAAGAACATCATGCTTGTTAAAGAAAGAGGGTCAATGAAAGAGAGGAAGAACTTTAATGACATGGATTGACAGAGTGCTTGGGACAAGGGACTCAGACCTAGGAATGATTGTGAGGATGACACAGGACCAACCAGTGTACCTTCCATTCTATATAAGATCTCGATGAGTCAGAATCAACTTGATAGCACCTAACTATATAGCTGTTACTGATTTACATTTTCCTAATAGTTTTTTTTAATTAGAATGTTTTCACTATAATTTTAACTTTATACTTCCAGTTTTTAGTGTGCCTCTATTATTTAGCTGTGTAGTTGGGTAAATATTCTGATACTGAAAATGTATATGCATTTAACGCGTATAACTTTTATAAATATATGTTACTAGTTTACAAATTGACATTTTAATGTGATGTGTTTTTTTATTGGAGATCATTTTTGTGGGCATTTATCATATCTGCTGAGGCCAATATGGGAGATGACTGATTTCCCAAGGTTGCTGCATGGGATAACAGATACTCAAGTAATATACTTACATATAAGTTTTTACTAATTGATAGGATAAAAAATGAATAAGCAAAAATATGACTAAACTTATTAGTTGATTTACTTTTGCCTTTGTGCTAATTATTCATCAGGTAGTAACATTTGTGCCTTAAGGTGAAAAATGGCTTTTATTTCTAAAATTACAATAAGATGACCTTGATTTTTTTCCAGTATTTTTGGAGCTATTTATATTTGATAATTTTCAAATACTTGTTAAACATTTCCTTTATGTAAGGGGGTGACATTTTTAAAGATATTATCTTGCAATAGGTCCAGTATTTTGGTACTTCAGATTAGGGAGGAATCTGGATTTTAGGAATTGTATAAATCCTACAAAGCAGCAATACACAGGGGACTAAAAGTCGAGTAGTTCACTAAGACAATGACAAAGATATATCCTTTGCTATATAGTTAAAAATCTTATCTCCTACGCAATAACTTGAGTGTGATGAGCCAAGCAAATAAGATACACTTGTAATCATTTAATATAGTCATCTAAGAACCTTTAAGCATCAAAATGCTAGCTTTTGTTTTTAATATGTGCTCCTTATCATTAAGACATCTGATGGTGTACAGAATCATATGTAGTACCAATGTCTTTTTAAAAGCCAAACTTTTGAGTAAACATTCTATAAGAAGAACTTGTGCAAGATGAAAACAAATTTGTCAGTACTCTAAAGGACTAGTATTTAAAGCCAAAAATATGTTTTCACACAGATTTTACTTAGTGTATTTTCCCTCTTCCTAGAGTTGTAAAGGTGTAGCTGCTGTGGAAAAGACTATTAAGTTGCTTCCTAGTAGCCATGTTGCAAGACTGCAAATATTCAGTGTGGAAGGACAAAAGGCAATCCAGATCAAACATCAGGATGAAGTTAATTGGATAGCAGGCGATATTATGCATAATCTTATTTTTCAAATGTATGATGAAGGAGAAAGAGAAATTAACATAACACCAATTTTAGCAGAAAAAATTAAAGTAAGTATCAAACAGATTATTGTTTTTCTTTTGAAATAAAGTCTTAGAAGACTAAGCAAAAGTTTTTTAAAGTAACTTCCAAGGAAAACCTTACCACCAAACAGTTACACTACTAATTCAAATTCTAGGCTCAATAAGATTTTTCATAAATGGAATTGAAATGTGATTCACTCATATGTGACAAACTCATAATCGGGGAAATAATTTTAACACTGAAACATAGATTTTTGATGTTTTATTTAGTTTTTCACTTCTGGACCAATTTTTCTGGAGTCACAATATCACCACCGTATCCAAACAATTTATCTGTAACTCTTCAGAAGGGACAAAACACATAGTCTGTTAAAGACAAATAGTGAGATAATATTGTTAACTGCCAAGTTCTGATTTGGCCATTCAAATGTGATGAAAAATGCCACTGTCTTAAAGGCATTGTTAGAAAGGCAGTTTTTATTTTGCTCATAACTACAGGTGGCCTTATCAACCTTCTATCATCTAAATACATATGACTTTTATAACAGAGTAAATCTACATGTTGAAATTTTTCTCACCAGGGAACCAAATAAACGTTGGCAAAAAGATTCTTATCACATCTGTTAGATAACTCACACCTTTCATTACTGGTTAAGAAATAGTGAACTACTTATATTTGCTCTGTCAAAGTCTAGTCAATCTGGTGTATTATCCCAAGCATTCTTAAAAATTACTGCCCCCTGCTGCTTAAGAACCTTGATATCACGTCGGGTTTGGTTGTTGCTTAGTTAAAGATGAGAAACATTGAAGAGCATCTTCTTTCTTTTTTTAATCATTTTATTGGGGACTCTTACAGCTCTTATCAAAGTCCATCCATTGTGTTAAGCACATTTGTACATTTGTTGCCATCATCATTTTCAAAATATTTTCTTTGTATTTGAGCCCTTGGTATCAGTTCCTCACTTTTCCCCACCCTCCCTCCCTCACGAAACCCTTGATAATTTATAAATTATTACTTTTTCATGTCTTATGCTGACCAATATCTCCCTTCACCCACTTTTCTGTTGTCCACCCCCCAGGGAGGGGGTTATATGTAGATCATTATGATCAGTCCCCCTTTTCTCCCCCCACCTTCCCCTTACCCTTCTGGTATCACTACTCTCATTATTGGTCCTGTGGGGTTTATCTGTCCTGGATTCCCTGTGTTTCCAGCTCTTATCTGTACCATGTACATGCTCTGGTCTAGCCAGAATTGTAAGGTAGAATTGGGATCATGATAGTGGGGGAGGAAGCATTTAAGAACTCGAGGGAAGTTGTATGTTTCATCGCTGCTGCACTGCACCCTAACTGGCTTGTCTCTTCCTGGTGATCCTTCTGTAAGAAGAGCATCTTCTTGTGTAGAACTTTTCATTGCCATTTGCTAATTTTACCACAAAAACTGCATTAAAAATGTGCTGAAAAACTCGGCTTATACATGAGTATATACGGCAATAATAGTTATATGTGTCCTGGATCTTCTATGACATATATCTTTTCATTGACAATAAAACTACATACTATTCTTGAATTAAAAATGTATCTGTAAGTGGCATTGTGCTCTTTAAGGAAATAAACCAAGATTGAGAAAAGTCAGCCTAAACTGGTCTTGGAATCCATTGATGGATTAACAGTCAGAATGAAGGAAGAAATATTCATTTTTTTTTTAAATAACTCCTATTCATGTCTTAACCACCATTATAGAAAAAAGTGATAATGATAAAAAGATTATTTTAAAAGGTAAAATGGTGGCTAGGAAGTTAGATTAAAACCAGGAATAAAAATCTTAGAATCTATCAGTGATTTTTAAAATAAGTTTAGCAAGCTAAAAGTGGAAAGTTGAGTTAACAAATATCAAATAAAAAGATTAGAAATTTCAGAGTAGAATATATAACATCTTAAAAATGGCCAAGCAACACAATATGAAATGCCAGAGATATGAAGTTAAAATAGACCTAAAAGCACTCAAGAAGTGATTAAGATTAACAGCTTGACCAGGAAGGTAATTACAGCATTAGATATTATGGTAATAATTTATTTTATTGGAATTAATAAACAGATGGACAGTGGTCCCCTACTCAAGTACTCCCTCAACACAAAAACACTTTGTTCTAGCAATTCGGCAATCTGAGATCCTCACCTTCCTGGCACAATCGCTGAAGACAACGGGTGCACAAGCAAATGTGGTGAAGAAAGCTGATGGGACCTAGCTGTCAAAAGATTAAAGTGGCTGGGGTCTTAAAGGCTTGAAAATAAACAGGTGGCCAAAAATTAAATAAACAAACAGGCGGCCATCTAGCTGAGAAACATCAAAGCCCACATGGAAGAACCATACCAGCCTACCTTGACAAGATCACTGAAGACAAAGCAGGTGCATAAACAAATGCGGTTAAAAAAGCTGATGGTGCATGGCCATCAAATGATATACAGTCTGGGGTTCCTATAGGCTGGAAGATAAACAAGTGGCCATCTAACTGAGAAACAACAAAGCCCACATGGAAGAAGCACACCAGCCTGTGAGATCCCAAGGCATTGAAGGGATCAGGTGTCGGGCATCAAAGATCGAAAAAAAATCATAGCATTGTGAATGAGGGGGAGTGCGGAGTGGGGACCCAGGGCCCAACTGTGGGAAATTGGACATCCCCTTGCAGAAGGGCTGCGGGGAGGAGACAAGCTAATCAGAGCAGTGTAGCAATGATGAAACATACAGTTTTCCTCTAGTTCTTATGCTTCCTCCCCTACACTATCATGGTCCCAATTCTACCTTACAAATCCGGCTAGACCAGAGGATGTACACTGGTACAGATAGAAACTGAAAGCACAGGGAATCCAGGAGAGATGAACCCCTCAAGACCAGTGGTGAGAGTGGCGATACCGGGAGGGTGGAGGGAAGGTGAGGGAGAAAGGGGAAACAGATTATAAGGATCTAAGTATAACTTCCCTGGGGGACGGACAACGGAGAAGTGGATGAAGGGAGACATCGGATGGTATAAGATATGACAAAATAATAATTTATAATAAATTATCAAGGGTTCATGGGGGAGGGAGGAAAGGGAAAAAATAAGCTGATACCAAGGGCTGAAGTAGAAAGCAAATGTTTGAGAATGATGAGGGAAACAGTGTACAAACTTGCTTAAAACGATGGATGTATGGATTGTGCTAAGAGTTGTATGAGCCCCCAATAAAATGATTTTTTTTAAATAAATAATGCCAAACTAGTGCCAAGAAGTTTGGAGATTGAAATAGTCCCCAAAAGCCATCTTCTGCAGGATCTTTCTCTCATTCCACCCTTGAAAGTATTCCCTCTTTCTCAGTTTCTCGAAACAGAACTCAAATATAAAGTTCGTGGAAATACCTCACATGGTGATAGGGGCAGTTTACATGCAGCAGGATGGCATTGCAGGGAATCCTGTTCACAGTTAATCACGGGCAAATCTTATCAGTCTCTGTCCCCACTTTCTTAGCAGACCATACAAGGAAATTTTGTTTGGTGGGCGTTAATATGATGCGATAAAATTTTACCCAAATGTATTCATCTATTCTCCACCCTGCACTGTATCTTATTTGTGCGCTTACGATCTGGAGCCTCTGACTAGCTGTTTCCTGTAGGTATTGGCCTCCTAATCTTAGCCAGGCTTTTCCCCAGCCACTCCAGAAACACTTTTCTTGCTCCTTTCAGTTGTGGCGTATAATTTCTTGCATCCACATTAAATAATAACAACCAAGATAACCATTAAACAAAGAATATGAACTAATTCACACCCTCTACTAAAGTCAACTCAATTTCATCCTATTCCTATTAGTCATCAGATGATGCCCTGCAAAATAGGCCACAGCCACATGCATATGAAATCCTGAATTACATATAAGGGATTATGGCTAGGAGGGCCATATTAATCAAACATAATTCAAATGGAACTTTAGTTTGCATACTCTTAATAAGGGTCCACATAGGTCTTATTTAGATCCTCTCTAAATAAGATTCTTTTTTAAAGCCACTGATACATTGCTAATTAAAAATGATCATATGATGATCTGTAGGTTATTTTTTTTAAACTTTCTCTTTTTTTGAACATTTTATTAGGGGCTCATACAACTGTTATCGCAATCCATACACACATCAATTGTGTAAAGCGCATTTGTACATCATTCTCAAAACATTTTCTCTCCACTTAAACCCCCAACATTAGGTCCTCATTTTTCCCCTCCCTCCCGGGAAACTTTCTTGAACATAGTGATTATCTTTTGATATAACTCAACTTAAGTGACATAACTATTTTTTCTGTTGTTAGATATGGGATAAAAAAGATTAAAGATAGAAAATTATACTTTTCATCATAGTAGTATATGAAGCACCATCATTTCTAATCATCAAGAGGCCTTGAGATAGGGTGGATGGGTTATAATTTAAGTTTTAAAAGTTTATAGTGAGATAGTAGGGAAGGCATTAGACTAGACTATATCATTCTGAAGCATGCTATTTCTTGCCTAGGTTAATTGGACGCCTGATATTAACAAAGAAAATTTGCTCCAAGGTCTACTTCCTGATGTACAAGTACCAACATCTGTAAAAGACATGCGCTATTGCCAGGTTTCATTCCAAGATGATCATGTGTCTTTGGAAAGTGCCTTTACAGTAAGGTTTGTGGGCTCATTTTGTTTTGTGGTATTTTAAAGTTCAGCATATGACAACAAAAAATACTTTTCTCCAATGTATATATGCAAACATAGATTTTTATATGGACAAAACTGCAGCTTGCATGAAATATGGTAGGTTGACTTTGGAATAATGCCTCACTGGAGATAGTGGTTATCCTGTTATCACTGTAGCTCTTGGTTTAATTGGCCCTCTAATATCTGGAAGAACTAGAACCTTTTTTTAAAAGGAAGTTTTAATGCCACCAATAGCAAAAACTCTTGCAAAATGACATAAAAAAAATATATAAAAGTTGCAGTGTGATCATTAAGTGTTCAAATGGAAAGTTTTTATCAATGTTCATGGTGATTGTCAAAGGTAAATTCAGATTTCATATGTACAAGGGTAAGTAAAAGGTGTTGCTACTAGGGTTCCAAATTATGTATGCATATGTCTTTGGCAAACATGTTTAAACTGTCTCTGATCAATGGATGACTGCAGGCATGTTTTCTGAATCACTTAGTAGTCTTATTAGAGTGCCTTCAAAAAAGATACTTTTTGTACTGTGGGGGGAAAAAACTATTTTAAGGTTCAAAAAAGATACTTTTTGTACTGTGGGGGAAAAAACTATTTTAAGGTTAATATTTTTAATGAATCTAAAATGGACACCTTTTCAAATCATTGAAGCTTTTGCAACAAGTTTACAGGAATGCATTGCCTCACATAAAACAACAGTTTTTAGATGGACTATGGCATTTTTGAAGTGTCGAGAATACCTCAAGATGAGCCAAGAGAGAATACCATCAGCTTGGCAGATGAAGAAACTGTGACTGAAGTCCAGAAATGATTGAAGGCAGAATGTAAAATGACCATTAATGTAAAGTTGAAGTGGGGATTACACTGTTTGACATTTTCCATTTTAAGTGTTGGGTACCAAAAGTGTCCTGCAAGGATCAGCTAGCTCAAGGAGCTGATCTTTCCATCAATCTTTTGATTAAGATCAAAGCTACTGAACATGATTTTATGGGATACATCTTAACTGGGGATGAGTCTGAGATTTACCAATATGGCCCACAGAGCAAGGTCCAATCTAAACAGTGGCTTCCTAGGGGACCTGGGGCAGTGAAATTCAGGACACAGGAAGTCAGCTCAGAAAGTTTGGGGGATAATCTTGATAGACTTTTCTTTAAGGATCACTGTAGGATCTTCTTTATAAGTAAGTTGTAAGGAAAACTGCCCTGGTGATAAAAAGACCAGGAAAGTTATGCTGAGAACTTTTTTTTCTATTGTGTTAATACTCATTTTTCTAAGACAGCAGGGGCTGTGTCCTATGAGGATTTTACTGGGAAACTTTACCAATCTACCTTACAATGCTGGGCCTTGCCCCTTCAAACTTTTGTTTTCCAAACTCAATGAACATTAAAATGGAATGGTTTGAGTTCCTCTAAGGCAGCAGTTCTCAACTCCCTATGGGTCGTGACCCATTGGGAGTCGAATGACCCTTTCACAGGGGTCACCCGATTCATAACAGCAAAATTACAGTTATGAAGTAGCAACAAAAATAATTTTATGGTTGGGCATCACCACAACATGAGGAGCTGTATGAAAGGGCCGTGGCATGAGGAAGGTTGAGAACCCCTGCTCTAGGATATCAAAACATGATTGAAAATGAGCACAGCATTATATGGGGAAGAGTTTAAAAAAGCCAAATCCATTGCCATCCAGGGAATTCTGACACATTGACAAGATAGAACTGTCCTGTGCATTTCTGGGACTGTAACTGTCCAGGAGTGAGAATCCTTGTCCTTGTCCTGAGGAATGGCCAGTGGTTTCAAATGGCTGACCTTGTTAGCAGCCCACCTGGTAACCACTAAGCCACCAGAGTTCTTTTGGGGAAGGATTAGAGAGAGGGAAACATTACCTTTAGAAGAATATAGACCTACGTGGAAAATATGTTGAGAAATAGCTTCACATTTTGATATTTTCATTTAATATTTATAATTTCGTAGCAATACTTTCTTACTCATCTATGATAGATGTGGAGAAGACTTAAATGTTATCTCGCAGACCCATTTAACACCTTGGTCTGTGGATTCTTTGACTCCCTCTTTTCCAATAATCTCCACTCTTTTTTCCCTCCAGCAGTTTTATTGGCATGTAATCCACATATCATACAATTCAGTAGTTCAGTCACACCAAGATGAGTTGTTCAGTCATCACCAACCAGTTTTAGATACTCTCCTTGATTTTGTCTATGTTTGCACACTATTTCCCAAACATAGTGCTTCAAGGAAGACCTGCAGATGTACCACCCTGACTACCTATAAACCCCATGAGTAGTTCTTACTGTTCATCTACTTTCTTTCTCAGTGCCCTTCACTCACAGTTTTTACTTAGTCCTCATAGGGAGTATGATTTAACACTTATACAAAGTTTTCCTCATATTTTTCAAGCTTTCTTTTCTCTGCTTCAGTAGCTGCCCTATAAACCACAAAGGCATTTAGAAGGACATTGATGTGCTACACTTTAGCATAATGAATTGCTTTACTTTTTTCCTAAAATTAACGGTGTGTGTAACTATAGCCTTTGTATTTTTGTAACCAAATTCAGACCACTTCCTGATGAACCTAAACATCTAAAATGTGAGTTAAAAGGAGGAAAAACTGTACAGATGGGCCAAGAGCTTCAAGGAGAAATAGGTTAGTATGCCTTGTTTTCTTTTTAAAATCATTTATAATGCTTCTTTACATCTGTGCTTTGGCCTATGTAACCTAAAAAGATAGCTTTAGTTTAAAATCTATTGCCAGAAAATTTAGGAGCATTAAGATTATCTTTGCCTAACTTTGCCTATCCTGATAATTAGTTTAAGAAATATAGTAACAGTTACTATTAAGTTTAAAATGTGTTTTGGTATTCTATAATTTTATTTTCTATAGGATATTACAATCAGTTTGATACTACATAAATGGGGTTACCATGAGTTGAAACTGACTAAATGGTAACTAACAAGAAAAATATTCTATAATCCTAAAATATGTCCTAGTTAAAACTCTGATTAATAGCTGTTTCATTATCTACATAATCTAAATACACATGCTTATATAGGTTTTTGAGTCATTTTATAGCAGTGATTAAAATTTTTATATCATATATAAAATAGATGTAATATTTTAATTGTATAGTGGACTTAAGAGCTTTTATCTTCATTTTATTTAAAAGATAACACTTAAAAATAAAACTCTCTATGGACTTAGGCTTCATTGGCCCAATATCCCTCTCCCAACAGTGCTTTAAAAAATTAGTACCGGGGCTAAGCAATGATAGTGTTATCAGATCTTTATGCCCCAGGGAGATGATTGATAAAGCTCTCGACTATAAATTAACAAGGAGGTTTTCAAAGGGAACCAAAGGCAGATAAATAAACTTAGATCCAGGAATGGGTTTAAGGCTCACACTGAGTCCGAGCTCCAATTTAAGAACAATTAGTTCTTACATCATAGCCTTGCTTGATACTTGCCATCAGGAAGGGAACACAGAATATGGGGTGCTCTAGTAAAGTGTGGTGAATAAATTAAGATGGTGCCCAACTGTCAGATAAAACAGTGGCCAGGGTCTTAAAGTTTTTATTCCAAACATGTAGCCATCTAAGTGAAATGTCAGCTAAGTCTACATTGAAGAAGCACACCAACATACATCAATGACTGAAGGATTGTAAATCATGTAATCTGAAGCTGAAGGAGAGAATAGTATAGAATAGAACCTAAATTGTGAGAAACAGGTTTGCACAAAGCTATGCATGATAGTGGGAGCCCAAAATAACATTTGTTTGATCTACAAAGAAAATAGACCTCCAGTGATTTCCCTCTACATGATAGAGGGATGGGAAGAAACCAGTTACCACTGGAGCGATGACTATACAAGTTCAATATGAACAAACGAAAATAACAGAAAATGTTGACAACCAGATCAGGCCCAACATTTTCTGTAATTTGTTAGTTTGTTCTTATTGGGATTTATTTCAGATGTATTTTGTTATTGGGGTTGTCCCTCTTGAATTTTTGTTACATGTTTTTCTGGTTTTCAGTTTATGAAACCCAGGATTGATGAATATATTGGCATAGCAAGTAGAATAAGGGTTTCTGGGGAGTGTAGTGGTTTAGAGGCTGTAAAAGGAAACTGATGGAAAGAAGTTCGAGAAGAAAAAGAACATTTTGAAACGTGGTAGCAATTGTACGGTACTGTTTGATGTGATTGAACTATGGAATGATATGATAGCTCCATTCACTCTCAATAAAATAGTTTTTTGGAGGAAAAAAAATGAAACTATGCTGAAAAGTAAATTTTAATTTTAAACAAAGTAAACTTTCCCTTTTTTCAGTTGCAATAGTAACAGATCAGTATGGAAATCAGATTCAAGCATTTTCACAAAGTTCTTTATCTACTTTGGGAATTGCTGGGGCTGGATTGGATCATTCAAATTTGAAAATGACTTTTCAGGTATGGGTATATTTCATAGTATTTGGTTGGTACCATTGTTTTATGTATACCATGAAGTCTGGGAAGGGCTAAAATGACTTTTAAAAAGCTCTTTAATTTGTTTTTCCGGAGGGTAAGCATTTTTCTGGAAAGTAAGCATTATTCTTATGTCTTTTCTTATTGTACTTTTTTCCTCATTAGGAAAATACACAAAGTATAAGTGTAAGAGGCATAAAATTTATTCCAGGTCCTCCTGGAAATAAGGATCTGTGTTTTACTTGGCGTGAATTTTCTGACTTCATTCGAGTGAAGCTAATTTCTGGTCCCCCAGCTAAGCTTCTCCTTATAGATTGGCCAGAGTTAAAGGAGGTAAGTTATATCTTTGTCTTACTTGGATAAACTTAATGGTTTGTTACTTTTAGATTATCATGAATATAAACTTAATGTGGTTTGTTACTTTTAGGTTATCATGAATCAGAATAGAAGTATTTTGCCCTTGAAATAAATACAACAATAGTTATAATAACAGTGAAAATGACAAGATTAAAGCAATAGGAGATATCTTAATGCTTCCTTAATTCATCACTGTGCTTATACTTGATTATAAAGAATGTGATCGTTTAAATTTTTAAAAGATTTTCAAACATGTATAAAGAAAATAGTATAAATGGCAGTTACCTAGCTTTAGTGTTTTTGCCGATTTTTTTTCAATTTCCCATTAACTTGAAATATTTGCATATTTATTTTCTTAATGGAATTTTAAAGCACATTCCAGACATTAACTTATGAAATCCATAGATATTTTAGTATGCCTTCTTATGCAAACACTTAAGACTTTTATTCCCTTTGTTGATTTTTATGGTAAATTTTTAGAACTTACAATATTAATGTCATTTCTGCCTTGAGTTAGTAGTGCAACAGATTTTTATCTATTGATCTCCTAACTTTCCTCCTTGATCAAACAAACAATTCACGTGACTGATATTAGATGGCTTTCTACTCGTAAAGGATAAGGTCATCCAAGAAAAGTGTGTATGCAACTTTTCTAATTTATAACTAGCTTTTTTGATTTATGAATTTACAAAACAGATAATTGAGTTTTAACAGGATTCACTTTAACAATTCATGACTGAGGGATGTCATAAAGTCATTGCATTTATTTTTATTTGAAAGCAATTTACACAAGTGTACATGTATTTTCCCTTACTTTTCAAAAACCTTATGAAAGAATAGTTTATAAGGAAATGGAAATTCTAAATTTTTTTTAAATAGAGCAGACTTGGATTTATGGATTTTAGAGATTTACTAATCCACCACCACCACCCCCCATTATTTCCCAGAAAATCCTATTGCTAATATTTTAGGGTACAACATATATTACTAAGGTTATCTTATAAAAGTAGTTTTTATTGGGGGGTAGAATAAAGCAAAGCCTTTTGAACTGTGGATGGTGACTCCATATGGGGTCAGGTTACTGAATGTGGGGTAGTGGAAAATTTTGCAAAGGTAAAAGGTTTCTGAACACTCAATAACCAAAAAGTAATTCAATATCAAATGCACATTACGTCCAAGGTACTTTTGGCAACCTCTGCCCGTTTTTGCAGATTTCTCAGGCGAAAAGGTGTTGCAGGTAGAAAAAGTTTTAAGAGGCCCTCATATGATGCTTACATTTGGAATGTAACTGAAGTACATTGTATATTCTAGCTTTTTATAAACTTGTAAAGGAGAATATGTAAGCTGTAACAGCCATGTAAATTTTGTAGTAGATAAGCAGAATTAAACCGGTATCAGGAGAGAGAGAGAGTGTCTGTGTCTGTCTGTTTAAGCTAAAACTCCTATCTGTAGTACAGACCTTATTTTCCTTCCAATTTCAACAGCCTCCCAACTTAGTAATTTGGTATGCAGCCATCTCAGACAAGAGATAGGTGGTGGGGAAGCAGTAGGAGAACTAACACAAAACGCCCACAGCCACAGCCATTAAGTGGATTCGGATTCATAGGAGCCACACAGGGCAGAGGATAACTGCTCCCCAGGTTTCTGAGGCTATAAATCTTCAAGCAAACACATGGCTTCATCTTTCTCTTGTGAAGCAGATGGTGGGTTTAACTGCTAACCTGCCAGTTAGCAGCCTAACTTTTAACTGCTGTGCCATCAGTAGAAAAGAGATGTTAGCTTTCCTTTTATACTAGTTAAGTTCTCTCCCAACGTTTAAAAAAAAATTCTTTTGAACTATGACTTGAGAATTATATCTTTACCAGATATCCTGCTTGGTAATGTGTTTCCTTTGGAGCAGATAGTATTAATAGGTCACCCCATAAAGTCTAGGACTACACAGGTTTTACATATTAAGAAAGTAGCCCTGGTGTTGCAGTGATTAAGGGCCAGTTGTGAGGTTGGTCATTTGAATCAACCTGCCACACCATGGGAGAAAGATGTGGAAGTCTGCTTCCCTAAGTATTTCAGCCTTGGAAACCTTAAAGGGCCATGCTACTCCATCCTATCAGGTTGCTGTGAGCCAGAATTGACTTCATGGTAACAGGTTTTTTGTTTTGTTGTTTTGTTTTTTTACATTTTTAGTAGAGGAAAAGGCAAGGAATACTTAATGCGAATATTACTTTTTGACAGAAGGCTAGAAAACTGTGTTGTTGCTGGTATAGAATGGCAGTAGAAAATTTGCAGTGATAAACTAAACCACAGATAGATTATCAGTGTTAAAGCTGAGAACTCAAGATGAGCGTCTGCTCTTGTTGAAGTCATTCTCCTATGCACCTTTTAGGAATCTATGCTAGAAACCACCAATGCAAATGCTGTTTTCCCTTTTATCAAATTATTAATCAGTTTTGTGAGAAATGGTTTATCGTGGACATCAGCTTTTAAAAATTTATTTTCCATTGATGATGAATCCACTTGTGAATAGGAAAGAACTAAATTAAATGACCATTTTATAAGTATGCAAGTGCTAATTGGATTGCTTGATATGTTTTAATACTTCTTAAAATATTTATGTCTATTTAGTCCATTCCAGTTATAAATGGAAAAGAATTACAGAACCCTCTAATTGTTCAACTGTGTGACCAATGGGATAACCCGGCACCAACACCACAGGTTAAAATAAGTCTTATAAAAGCTAGCACTTTAAAGGTAAGTTCTAAACTTTAATGTATTATTTTTTCTTAGAATTCTGGATTTTATTATCATGATAATGCTTAGGATATTTCATTTCATTTCTGTAACCTTCAGTACTGCTTAGTTTCAATCAGCCAGAATAATTTTTTTTTGAGACAGTAAAGCATATAGCTTACAAAAAGTGTTCCATGGAGCCAATATTGTACAATTATGGCTATTTGAATGTCTCTACTGTAAATACGACTAATATTTTCATTTCAGACCATGACACAGTTGATGATAGTAGATACTACAATGACCTGTAGTGTGATTAAATAACAGCTGTAATTGAGGAAACTTAACCAACTAAAGGTTATGCAAGTTAAGTCATTCAGGTACCTACTTAGCAGAACATCCAGGGCCATCTACGGCTGTTAGATTTGTGATGTGGTCTGCTCTACAGTAGTGTACCTTCCTCTCTCTTGCCTTTTTTATAAGCAAGTGTGAACTTGAACCTGTGAACTAAGTCTGGGTACAAAGTAAATTCAAGATTGGGTGCCTTCTGTTTAGGTGCATATTCACACTGCTCAGGACTTGGGTAAAATTGAGGGCCAACTAGTGCCTCCTGTTCCCTTAAGGGAATTAATTCTTCCTAGCTGAATTGTTCTTAGAAAACTCAGAATGAGTTATTGGGTTTATAGTCACAGTTTTGTGTATCTCTCCACAAACATAAATTTAGTGGATGAAAATAATTAATATTGTGTAAAGCGTCTAATCCTCTTAATGTATCAGCCAAATCAAAATCCAATGGGGATTTCCTATGGCAAGTTGATCCTAAAAATCATGTAGGAGATTAAAGTACTAAAATGTGTTCTTATTTTCATAGTACTTAGGAATTGCCTAAAAGGGCTCTGTATTATTGCTACTACACAACAATAACATAGACAAAATATAAAACTGATTTCTGACTTAACAGCAAGGATTTAGGACCTACATAAGAGAAATACTGTGAGAAAGACAGGCTGAGAGACATTGTTTGAAATGGGAAACGGAACAGGTGCGACTATAGGATTTTTTTCCTGTCATTTCAAATATTCCTTGTCATTTTGCCTCCAACTATAATAGTCTACAAAAGCCCCCTTTGTGGCCTATTTAGGTTCCTTTAAGTAGAGATTGGCCTTAGGTTTAAGAGTGAATCAGATTATCTATTGCTATAGTCCACAAAGTCACGTTTGTTCTCAATGTTTGCTTCCAAGAGTATTAAATAGTGATTCATTTCAACCTTTGAATAAGGGTAACATTCTACTTTCTAGAGAAGCACCAAAAGCAATTCTCGTAACCAATGATTAAGAAATGTGATCACTGATTCTTAGTCACTTGCAAGTGATACTTTGGTTATCACTATAGAGGTAATATTGCAGCAAAGATTTAAGAAGCCCATCTGAGTAAACATTCAAGAGACAGATGAAATAACAACAAGCTAGTATTGTATATATTATTTTAATACACAGGATTACCCCCAAAAAAAACACCCAGAATTTTTTCCCCCCAAAGCTATGTATTTAATTTTTTTTTACAAAACAACCTTATTGCCTTTAAAGTACTCTCCATTACACTTAATACATCTGTCAAATCTGCTATTCCATTCTTGGAAACATTTTTCTAACTCATCTGGATGGCTGACAGCACCTCCCTCATTTTTTCCTTCATCAATTCTGTCATCAAATCGCTGCCCTTTTTATGTCCCTCTTCATTTACAGAAACAAAAAGAAGTTGCATGGAGAGAGGCCAGGTCTATGGGCAAAAGAGGCATGCTATTTTTGGCCAAAAACTGGCACACTGAGATGTCTACTTCAACAGGTGCATTGTGGTTGTGGCAAAACCAGTCCCCCGGCTGCCACAAATCAGGCTTCTTTTGTCACACACTGTAAGACAGTCTTTTCAGCACCTCTAAATAGAAAGCTTGATGAACAGTCTGATCTGGTGGAACGAACTACAAGTGCACTGCAAGTTGACATTTTTGTCCATTCAGGAAGTTGACTGATGTCCAGAACTAAGTTTGTCATCGATTAACATTTCACTTTTCTTGGAACAAGAAAACCACTCATACACTTGAGTTTTTTCCCACAGCACTGTCATTGTAAGCTGTGTTCAACATCTCAACAGCTTCTACAGCATTTTTCCCAAGCAGGAAACAAAATTTCACAGCTACATACTGTTCTCTTAAATTGGACATAACAAAAAATGAGGTTCAAGCGAAACTGCTTTTGCGAAAAAATTCACTGTTGCTCAGTGCTTGCGTGATGGGGGTGTGTGTGTCAAAAATGCATACTATGAAAGCACCATTCCAATCAATTCCAGTTTTCCTGGGGGTACCCACTTGTATATAAACTCACTCACCGCCATTGAGTCAATTCTGACTCAATAATGATCCTATTAAACAAGGTCGAACTGCACTGTGTGTTTCTGGGAGCATAACTCTTTGTGGGTATAGAAAACCTCATGTTTCTCCCTCAGTGTGGCTAGCTGGTGGTTTGAACTGCTGACCTTGCAGTTAGCAGCCTAACACTTATCCCACTATAGTGCCCTTTTAGCATATAATATTGGTGTAATATATAATAGAATGTTACTATACCTTGACTTAAAGTGTATATGTTTATTTATGTCTTCATAGTACCCCTTTGCCCCTAACTTAGAGACACACCTTCATAGACTTGTGCAACTTAATAACTGAAATACAATAAATTTTAGTTTAATCAAGATGAGTAGTTATCCTTTAGGCTATGTGGTTACATGTTTTATTATTTCAGCTTGTTCAGATTAGAGCATTATAGGTTTTAGAAACATGCAAATATAATTTAAAATTAGAATTGCGTATTAAAGAACTTTATTGCTCTCAAGAATTTTCTAAGTTTGGGGGTTTTTTTGCTCTTGTTTTTAGCTCACTCCTTCAAACCAACAGCATAAGACAGATGAAAAAGGCAGGGCTAATTTGGGAGTATTCGGTGTCATTGCTCCTAGGTAAGAACCAAAAGTTTGATTGTTGTTGGTAGTGCGCAGCTTGAGTTTGCTTCTTGTTTGCAAAGAAACACCCTGAAAACAGATCTAGTTTTCTGTGCTTTTCAACTAAAATATGGATAATCACCACATTGCAGAGTAAAGTCACTGAAAACTAGAAGCAAAGTACAAAGGTTTTCTAAATTGATAAACTCTGTATCTCAGAATTTTTAGTTGATGACTAATGTAATTTGACCCAACCCCCTACCTCTTTTGTGTTTATTAGGGGAGAACATAGTATGCAGATTAAAGCTATCTATAATAAGAATACCATTGAAGGACCTATAATTAAGTTAATGATTCTTCCAGACCCTGAAAAACCCATTCGTCTCAATATTAAGTATGACAAAGATGCCTCCTTTTTAGCGGGAAATCTTTTCACTGGTGAGTAATTCAGTGTTTAAATAAACTTTTACTTTAGAAACATAAATTCTGTATTTTAGGTGTTCTGTGTGGTATTAGCATGTATGTATTAGCCTTTTTGCATGGTAAAAAAACACCACTGACTTAACCATATCTTCTCACCCCAAGTCTTGCATTCCTTCATTGCCCAGAATGAACTGATAGTGTATACATAAACGTATAGCCCAAGGGAATTTGTTCACTTTGTATTTGTCCATTCACTAAATTGTAAAGTAAAAATGAACTGCTAAATGGGAGAGAACTATGAAGTTGTGCTCTCCTAAATGTATAGTCATGTTTAACCCATCAGAAGCTAGACCTACCTTTGAATTTATTTTGGATGGAAATAATATTAATTGCATCATTTATGGTTAAGGGTATTTTAGAGCAACAAGCATTACTAAATGCCTGTTATGTTTACAATGACAATAAGAGTTTTTAATGAGTTTATTCTAATCTCAAAGACATTCAAGTAAGCAGATCATGCCAATATAGCATGACAATGCTAAATAAGTCAGTAGGAAAACACTATTTGCTCAAAAAATATGTAAAAAACAGTTGCCATCTGTTGATTACTACTCACAGTGACCCTGTAGGCAGAGTAGAGCAGCCCCTGTGCATTTCCAAGGCTGTGCTGTTTGTAGAAGCTGACTGCTACGTTTTTCTCTAACTGAGCACCTGGCCAGTTTGACTCTCCAGCATTTAGGTTCAGCGTTGAGGCTGTGTGTACCCATTGTACCACAAAGCTTCTTAGCATCTGCTCTGTGGAGGTAAATGACTGAAAGGTTTGTTTTCTTGGAAGCCTAATTCCTGTACATGGTTTTAAGCAAAGAAAAAAAAAACTGAAAACTTATGAATTTTAAAAAATAATTTTGATGATTACATATATAGGTAACCTAAAAAATTACAGTTTTTCACTTTGAGATTTAACCTTTTAAAACTCTTAACAGGTGCCAAATGGATGTTACAGTTGCTAAGTGTATTGGGAATATTTTATATTTTACATAATCTTACTGTAGCTACTGTATGCTATAGAAATTCACAAAAGAAATTTAGCATTCTCCTTTGGGATACATAAAGCATGTAATTTGGAGACCAGTTGGCTTAACTCTCAGCTGCTAAGCATACAGTCTAGCCTTTTGTCATGCATGCTAGAATTTACAGAATGACAGATTAAGAAAATGAGAGAAGCAAAGATGTATTGGATGTTCAGATTTAACACAAGAATTGTGTGTCATGATTAGTAATTTTTTACTGACAAATTATTAGGGAGTTCTGGTTAAAGAATAGTTTTATTTTCTTCCTCATCAGATTACTGTTAACATTAAACAAGATATGTGCTTTTAAGATACAAATCTTTAACTAAACCTGTTCAAATTAGGTAGAAAATAATTTTTTTATATGTGCTGTGACAGATTTTATGATTACGGTTATTTCTGAAGATGACAGTATCATTAAGAATATTAATCCAGCACGTATTTCAATGAAAATGTGGAAGATGTCTAGTAGTGGGAACCGACCACCAGCAAATGTGAGTCCAGAAAACATTTTTTGATACTAAAATTAATTCTTAATGTTTAATTTAAAATTGCATGCAATGCAAAAAAATACAATGTACATATTTGACAACTGCCAATTAATCTCTGTTTCCAAAAGAAAAGCATCACCATTTGTCTCAAAACTGTTAATGTAATTGAAGAAAAGCAATTTGCATTGTGATTTTCCTTACTTTTAAAGATAATTTGCACAGTTGCCATGTCTTAAGGATAGCAGCAAAAGTAAAGAAGCCATTAAGCATTAAGGGGAAATACACAACATAAGATGAGCAAAGAAGTGTATGTGGTTGACAAACTGCAAGGCAGCCTCAAGCCGCAGGATTAGAACAATCTGAGGGTCTGCAGCAGAACCGTCCATTGGAAATACAGCATGAACCACACCTGATAATTCGTATTTTCTAGTGATTACACTAGAAGAGTAAAAATAAATAGGTAATACTTTAAAGTATTTTCACTGTGTTGTAAATTCAGTATTAAAAATTATTGAGAATTTATTTATTTATTTTTAATTATTGAGAATTTTTTACACTCTTTTTTTCTTACCAGGTCTTCCAAATTTGTTGTGTACTTCATGTTTATATCACATTTCAATTCATAACAACTTTGGGTGGCTATTAGTTTCCATATTGAACAGTATTGATAAAATATAAGTCTGAAATTGGATAGTAAACCTTAGACTTTAGGAAATGTGGACTTCAACAGTTAGGCCCATTTTAGTCATTTGTTTAGGAAATTACTGTTGTTCTATGCTATTCAAATTCTTAGTAACCCTACATGCCAGAGTAGAATTGTTACATGGAGTTTGCTAGGACATGACCACAGAGGAAGAATATCACTAGGTCTTTTCCCTGGTGGAGTGATGATGGCTCAGTGGGTTCAAACCTCCAACCTTAAACTGTTGCATCACCGGCTCCTTTTTAAAAGAAACTAGTTGCTTAATTTAGATTAGTCCAATGAGGCTACTACTACCTTAAAATGCTTTGCTGCTGTAGAAATCCATTGTAAACCCTTTCGTAATGGGATGCCTTTTCAACATGATCTTATTATTGTGTCTTACATTCATTAAAAAGAAATATATATAACGTTTTAACTTTAGAGGTGATCTGGATTCACTTTCAGTCTAGAAGAATTTTCATCATAAAATTCTATATGAAATGTTTGTAATTTCCCCTGCCCTTTCTCTCCCACTCCCACTCTCTAGGCAGAAACATTTAGTTGTAATAAAATAAAGGATAATGACAAGGAAGATGGCTGTTTCTATTTCAGGTATTTCTCTAATCACATCATATGTTTATATATATTTTGTTATGAAGTAACTCAACCTGTGTATGTGTGTGTAAATATATTTGGAAAAAGATGCTTTATTTTTTAGTTTTATAAAATGGTTTTAGTGGAATGTCATTGCCATAAAAGGATTAGTTTACTGGTATAAAACCAAGTAATCAAAAAAGTACTCTTCAAGTTGTGAAGTACCACATTGTAATCCTTGACTGTAAAGGATTTACAGTCTATAATTAAATTGTAGGGATTGTAAAGAATTTAATCTATAATTAAATCCTGTAATTTAATGATATTAGGAAGTAAAAAGGTTGGTCTAGCCTTTCACTGTAACTGTGCGACTCTGGGCTTTGTTGTTCCTTCCTTCTGGACCTCAAATTTAAAATCTGAAAGAAAAAAAAAGATTTTGAATTAATTATTTCAAAGGTATCTTTTATTTATAAATTTTTTCTCTTAGAGAAGATTCACAAGAAGAGCCAAAATGCTGAAGTGTCTTTCTAGACTGTAGCCGAGCCCTCTTTTTGCTTTTGTAAATCTGCAGTCTGCTTTAGATTGATGACTTGTGTAAAGTAGAGGTTGGCTGTCAAATTGCTATAGAAGTTTCTTAAGTCCCTTGAGTTTTGTAATTGCCTTGTGACATACACACTCGTAACAAACTGTTCAGACCAACACCTGTCCTCGGACCACATTGATTCACACTGCCTTGTGTCTTTTAGATGTGCCAGATTGTTGTATTGTGTGGGGCTGATTTGAACCACCTTAAAATGATTGACATTCCTTTATATGAAATCTCAAGATGAGAGAATTGGACAATTTCATTATATTCCAAAATACTCACTTTGTTTTAATCTAACACAGGACATTAGAGTAAACCAACTGTTTGGTGGATTTTTAAAAATGAATTACACGTTTTGAAAATAGAAGTGATGATTGTACAAGAATATAAATAACAAAGTGCCATTGAATTTTATGATTTAAAATGGATAGTTTTAAGTTTTGTGAATTTCACCTTGTTAAATCACCCATACTCTCATAAACTTTATTTTCCTTCTCCCAATGTGTGTATCTTTATTGTTGCATTTGTTAAACCTCTTTAGGTGTTTCTATTTTGCATCACAAGTGCTTATTTAGATTTACTCATATGCTTACCCTTTCTGTTAACTTTTACCTGGGATCATTTTCCTTTGAGGAAGTGTCTTGATTATTTTCTCTCTTGTATGTCTGCTGGTGACAAATTATCTCATTATTTTTACCTGAAATATTTTTGTGCCGCCTGCACTTAAAAGATATTTTCATTACATATGCTGTTCTAAATTCTTCTTTCATCAGCCTTATTATGAAAAAACTGTTTGGATTTCTTTTATCTATCTTGCCTTGTGCTCAGAGGCCTTGATTTTTATGTTCTTAGTTCAATTTTGAAAAATTCTCAGCCTTTGTGCCATGTTTGCCCATTCATTCCCTCTTCTTGCAATTAACTTACTATTAAATCCATCTTTGGAGACTGCAATTTCTTTGTTATTTTTAGTTCTAAATATTACATTTGATTTTTTTTGAAGGCCCAACTCTACTGAAATATTGTTTTATCTTTTGTCACCTGACTAGTAAGCAGTTTATTAATAAAAATCTGCACCTACAGTTCCTTTGCATCTGTTTAAATTTTCTTCAACTGGTTTTTTTATCCTTTACTTGCATTTCCATGTACTTCAGTACTTGTTTATGATGTCAGACATTTTATTCATGAATATATATAGAAGCTGTGTGAAATCTAATACTTTTTGTGGTACATAAAATGTACCACAGTTTTGTTTACTATCATTTGATGGACAGCTGGATCATTTCCATATTCTGCCATATACAAGTTATATAGAGACGTGTTTTAAATTTCACCTCTGACTCAGTGGTGTTTCCATAAGCATTTCTTTTCATCCTGAGTGATACTGAGCATCTTCTTGAACTCCCGTTCAAATCAGTTATCTAATTTGTTGTCGGGTTGTTTGCTTCTTTTCTATTCATTCGTATGAGTTTTTTCTTACTTTTCACTGGCTTGGTATCTCTCAAACATCATCAAACATATGCATCCCTTGTCTTCCTCAGGAAGTGTTTATCTGTCATTTGGAAGCAGAATTCTTGTTTATTTTTGCACTTGATGCTTACTCTTTTTCTTCCAACAGTTTTATTGGCACATAATTTACATATCATAAAATTCAATAGTTTAATCGTTCAATCATATCAAGGTACAGTTCCCACATCCATCTTAGCATGTCCTCCCCTCATGGATAAATCACCTTTAACATGAGTTGTGCAATCACAATCAGTTCTAGTGCTCCGCGCCCCCCCCCCCTTTCATTATTTATGCCCCCAATCCCCTTTCCCTCTTGTTGTACCCCCCACCTCCCACATTCCCTAGAACGGTTCAGCAGGAATGCCGAGATCGGAAGAGCGGTTCAGCTGTGCTTCAAAGCTTGGAACCCAAACATAAAACAGTAAAAAAAAAAAAAAAATAGTACTTAGGTGGTAAGGCTAAAATCATAATAGTATAAACGCAAAAAGACGTGTAATTTTTTTCCCTTTTTAAAAAAAATCATTTTATTGGGGCTCGTACAACTCTTATCACAATCCATACATTGTGTCAAGCACATTTGTACATATGTTGCCATCATTCTCAGAACATTTGCTTTCTACTTGAACCCTTGGTATCAGCTCATTTTCCCCCTCCCTCCCCCTCCCCCATGAACCCTTGGTAATTTATAAATTATTATTACTTTGTCATATCTTACACCATCCAATGTCTCCCATCACCCACTTCTCTGCTGTCCAACCCCCAGGGAGGAGATTATATGTAGATCCTTGTAATCTGTTCACCCTTTCTCCCTCACCTTCCCTCCACCCTCCCGGTATCGCCACTCTCACCACTGGTCCTGAGGAATTCATCTGTCATGGATTCCCTGTTTTTCCAGTTCCTATCTATACCAGTGTACATCCTCCAGTCCAGCCGATTTGTAAGGTAGAATTGGGATCATGATAGTGTGGGGGAGGAAGCATTCAAGAACTAGAGGAAAATTGTATGTTTCATCATTGCTACACTGCACCCTGATTGGCTTGTCTCCTCCCAGCAGCCCTTCTGCAAGGGGATGTCCAATTTCCCACAGCTGGGCCCTGGGTCCTGCTATGATTTTTTTTTTTTGGTCTTTGATGCCTGATACCTGATCTCTTTGACACCTTGTGATCTCATAGGCTGGTGTGCTTCTTCCATGTGGGCTTTGTTGTTTCTTAGCTAGATGGCCGCATGTTTATCTTCAAGCCTTTAAGACCCCATTTATGTGTAATTTTTACTGTAACTTTATGAGGAATTATCTTCTTGGAGAAAATGTGGTTTTAGAATGTTTTCGCTAAGATTGCATATGTATTACAATGTTGAAATTTCAATATGTTAGAATAGAAGAAGCCTGTGTATTTTTTAGTGTAAATGCAATTTTGTTTTGTTTGAGACTATGAATGACATGTAAAAGTCACCTTATAGAGTAGGAATGAAGAATGCCAGTTCTAAGTTCTTTATTGATCATTATTATTGATAATTAAGTCATACTAAGTGTCTTGAATATATAAAGTCAAATATTTGAATGGACAATGAAACAAGGTAAAAGAGCAACAGGATATCTTACCATTTGAAATGTCCGTTGGACATTTATAATTTGGAAGTCAAACAAAATTCACTTATTAGATAGCATTCAGGATATTTTGTGTTTACTGTTTTCTCAACTTTATATTCCTATTTTTGCCATGTCCAGAGCCTTTGTTCTGAATAACTTTTTGAAAGAATGTATAGGTAAGAATAAGCCTAAAAAAAAAAAAAAAATGAATAAGCCCGACACAAAATTTTTTGTTAAAGGAATGAAGCTGCATATAGTAATAGTAATTCTTACACGTTTACTTTATGTAGAAGAAACATAAACGTTGATACTCAAAATTTCTTCTCCCTTTATTTAAAAAGGGGCAGTAATCACCATCATTTTCTTTTTAATTTAGGGATAAAGTAATTCCTAATAAAGTGGGAACGTACTATATCCAGTTTGGTTTCACAATGGATAAAGCCAATATTCTTAACAGTGAACAGGTTTGCATTTTCTCTTGATATACTACAGTTAATGTCACATTTTTATGAGTAGAGAATGATATATTTGATGTAAAATTGAATTCATTATTGGATATGAAGTGAAAGAATGCATCTTTCAAGAAAATTAGAGTGAAATATATTTACATTATGTTCAGTAATTTGACCTGAGAAATAAATCTATTCAATCTCTCTTTTAATTGAAGAAACACTTAGTAATTGTGTTGACAGATGTCATGGTAAGGGTGCTCAGAACAACCATACATAAAAAAAATTTAACATTTCAGTTACTAGAATTCTGGGTAGTGAAGTTTAAGGTCGTTTTCTCTTAACATATAATTGTATTTTGCTTAAATGCTGTCTCTAAAGTTTGTTAGCTCATTATAAACATTAAAAAATTAATCTGAAGGATCTTTTTTCCTGAAAGTTTCAAATAACTTGCTTTCAAGAGATAAACAGTTTTTAGAAGGTAACGTTGCATTTCACTTAACATAATTTTTTCTCTTCCTCTTAAATATGGGGAGTCTCTGACTTGCAATTTATTTTAGTTACAGCAAGCTGCACTTAACACCATCTTTTTTTGTTACTGTTTTCTGGGGTTTTTTAAGTATATCTTATCACTAATAAAATGCTTTAATTAAAATATAAATATATGTAATGTTTCTAGCCCCCCAAAACAAAGATCAGATTTCTAAAGATACAAAGACAATGATAAAGAAAAACTTTAAAAAAGAAAGAATTAGGTTGAACAGACCTTGTTATGCATGGACTTCCTGTACTACAGTACCAGTGTATTGTTAATCAGAATGCTGCTTTTCTCTCTTAAGATTATAGTCGATGTTCTTCCTAATCAACCTGTGAAGCTAGTTCCTGAAATCCAACCAGCTACACCTGCTGTTTCTAATGTTCGTTCCAATAACAGTAGAACCTTGGTCAAAGATTTACATCTCAATATCACGGTACTTATTTTGTTCCAGAATTATTGGTGCAACAATAAAAATTATTAATTGTAAGTTTGGTTTTCAAAATAGTTACTATAGAGTAGATCAGATCTTGATTATTCATTTTAAGGTAAAATTGTACAGGTGAGTTAAATATTTGTAACATTCTAATGATTTATTCTTAAATTAAAAATATACATACAATGAATTCAGATGTACTATGAACTTTCTCAAAATACAAAAATGTCAACTTTTCGTAATATATACTCGTCTCACCTATTTCATGTATTGTGAATGCTTGTAGATTGAATATATTCTTCTTGTCCAATTCACTGAGGGGACAGAAAGAGGCCATTGAATATTTATTTTACAAGAGATCTACTCTATTGACTGACATAGTTAAGGAAGAAAATCAGAGCTCCTCAGAGCTGCTGATTATTTACAGAGTAAGCCGCAATAGAACTAAAACAAATATTAATAAAAACATGTAAAACAGTGGCGAGACCTCACAATTAGGGAAAATGTGGCTGATGGCATCTTAACACCCTTCAAATAACTTATTTTCATGTTTTAGACATGTGAGTGTTTCTTTTCCCCAGGGAAGAACAGTATGCCATAGTTATTCTGCTCAATGTCTTTGAGTCTATGTATGCACCAAACTTTGTCTGAAGAGTACAAGATGGTTCATACATAAAGATACTGTTGCTTTTCAAATGTATACAGATGTTAACATTTAATAAAATAATTCAAAAGCATTATAAATTCACATCTTTTATTACTGTTTTTCATATCAATAGATGTTAAAAACAAATAAAGTAAAATTTTTAAATGAGGGTTCTTGTAATATAGAAAAGTCTTACACTTTCTTAGGCTTTTTGAGACTATTTCCTGCTTAAGGAGCCCTTAGTCTTACAACTGAATTCTATTCTTGAATTAAGGGTTGGTATAAATTAATGTTTGGGACTTAAATAGTTTGGGGGTTTAATCTTCTAATTCGTTATTTTACATTGTTTACTTCAAGGATGAATACTGCAATCACACTGGAACTGATTTGGTTGGCACAGTAGTAGCGACTATTAAAGGTTCCAGTGAAGAAGATACTGATATACCACTCTTTATTGGGAAAGTTAAAATGCTTGAATTTCCCTTTGTGAATGGTTCAGCTCATATCACGGTAAATTTATACCTTTTAGTAGTTAAAAATGTTCATATATTTAGTCCACTATATTGATAATGTTGTTTGGTATGGATAGTTATGAAATGTTCCAATTACAACACTGAATTGGAAAGTCAGCTTAAATATATTCTAATTTACTCTTGGCTAATGCAAATTAAACCCATTTTTATAATGGCAATATAATATTTATGTTCTATTGAAAATTTGCCATTTAGTGGGTAGAAACAAATGAAGCTTAGCCCAGACACCTAATAAAAATCTTTGTCGTTGTCTTTCCTTCTATAAAAAAAAATTTTTTTTTTGGTTGGCATTTACAAAATTAGGATTGTTTGTTTAATCATTTTATTAGGGGCTCATACAACTCTTATCACAATCCATACATACATCGATGTGTAAAGCACATTTGTACACTCATTGCCCTCATCATTCTCAAAACATTTCCTCTCCACTTAAGCCCCTGGCTTTAGGTCCTCATTTTTCCCCTCCCTCCCCTATGCCCCCTCCCTCATGAGCCCTTGATAATTTATAAATTGTTATTTTGTCATATCTTGCCATGTGTGACGTCTCCCTTCACCCACTTTTCTGTTGTCCATCCCCAAGGAAGGAGGTCATATACAGTTCCTTGTAATCAGTTCCCTCTTTTCAACCCACTCTCCCTCTACCCTCCCAGTATCGCCACTCACACTACTGGTCCTGAAGGGATCATTCGCCCTGGATTCCCTGTGTTTCCAGTTCCTATCCGTACCAGTGTACATCCTCTGGTCTAGCCAGACTTACAAGGTAGAATTTGGATCATGATAGTGGGGGCGGGGAGGAAGCATTTAGGAACTAGAGGAAAGTTGTGTTTTTCATCGTTGTTACATCGCACCCTGACTGGCTCGTCTCCTCCCCGAGACCCTTCT